AACTATAGATTTTAATAGCTATATATAAGTTAAAATAAATGCATTAAAACTTTTTATATAATTTATATAAATAAAAACCTTATATAAAAAATTTAATTTATAAAATTAAAAAATTAATAAAAAAATTTTAAAATTTAATTTTTTAAGCTTAAATATTATAGCTATTTTTAATTATATAAATTTAAAAAAAATAAATTATATAGTTTATTTAATAAAGAATATTATACTATTTTTTAAAATATTTTTTTAAAATTTTTATTGTTATAAAATTAATTTTTAAAATTAATTAATACTATAGAAAATTCTAATGCATGGGCCACTATGGTTCAAATATAAATCTTCTACGGTCCAAATAGTAAGACTCTCTTAAAAAAGATATTATTATAAAAGATTAGTTACTAAATATTAATTTTTTAGTTAAAATTTTAGTTTTTAGTTTAGTTACTAAGGTAATTAAAACTAAACTAAAAAATTAGTTAATTAGTTAATAATTAGTAACTAAAACTAAAAAACTAAACTAAAATTTCAGTTATTAATTAACTAATTTTTTATAGTAGAATTTCAATATTTAATTTATTAGCCTAATTTTATATATTTTATAATAATTATAAAATAAATACTATTTAATTTATAATATATTATTATATAAAAATATTAAAAATATTATTTCTTTATTATATAAGCTATTAATTAATAGTTTAGTTTTTTTATATTAATTAAGTAATTTTAAGCTTTTTAATTTTATACAATTTCAATTTTTAAATTTTTAGCTTTATTTATTAATATTTTTAATATTAAAAAAGTATAATATATATAATATTTGTTATATTTTAATAATTAAGCTTTAAAAGCTTATGGAAAAAATTATCTATAATAATAATTAATTATCTTGATTTTGTTCTTTTAAATATTTAATTTTAAGCTTTTTAAAATCTTTAATCTAGCTTTTTAATAATATTATTTCTTTAACTAGAATAGGCTTAAGTCTATTTCTAGATTTAGTTATAATATTATTAGAAATAGAAAAAACACTTTCTATAGCAGCAGAGGTAGCAGGGATAGTTAAATAACGCCTTGTTAAAATAGATAATAAAGGAAATTTATTATTATTTATTTTCCAATATTCTAACGGGTGTTCCTATAATTATTTTATTAGTAAATTAATAAATAAATATAAAATAATAATAAAATAACTTATATCTTTATTTATAAGACTTTTATTTTAATATAATAATAATTCATCTATTTTATTATTATTATTAGGGCTATTATTATTATTATTATAATTATTATAACTAAAATCTTTAGCTAATTTATTAAAAGATAAATTTACTAAATTATTAATTATTTCAGGCCTGTTTATTTTTCCTTTTAATCTATAATAAAATTAATAAATAAATAAATAAATAGAATAATAAAATAAACTTACTTATTATATTTAATTTTAATTAAATTAATAATATCTTTATTAATATTATTATAAAAAAATAATAAACTGTTTTCTTTAAAATAAATATCTTTAAATCTAGGATTTAAAAATAAACTAAAAAGATAAAGTTTATATAATTAATTAAATTAAATCAGGGTTGCCATTTAGTAACGATTCGTATCGTCACTGCGTTAAAGAAAACAAAACGAATTATTTTCGTTACTAATCGATTAATTATAGTTTCTTCATTAATCTAACAAATACAATATAAAAAAAATCATATTTTATTAATAATAATTAAATAAATACAAAATATAAAATTCATTACTAAATTCATTATTAATTTATTTAAAAATTATATTTTATTAATAATAATTAAAGAAATATAAAATATAAATTTTATTATTAAATTTATTATTAAATTTATTATTAATTTATTATAAACTTTATAATTATTTAAAATAGCTTATTATAATAATAAAATAGTATATTTTTATAAAATTAAATTAAATTAAATTAATATATTAAAATAAGCAAGTTATTTATATTATAAATTAGCAAGTAGGAAATTTTTTAATTTTAAGCTTTTAATTTAAAACTGAAATAATTTATTTATTTTAATACATAAATTTATTATAATTTTAGATTTATAATATATATATAAGATTTATTTAAAATATAATTTTTTTTTATTTTTAATAATTATTATAAAAAAGATATAATTAATTTAAGTTATTTTCTTTTTTATATTTATTTTCAAGCTCTTTAAAATCTTTAAACCAGCTTTATAATAATATTATTTCCTTAACTAAGCTAGGATTAAGCCTATTTCTTAATTTAGTTATAATATTATTAAAAATAGAAAAAAACACTTTCTATAGCAGCAGATGTAGTAGGAATTGCTAAATAATACTGCGCTAAAATAAATAATAAAGGAAATCTTTTATTATTTAATTTTTAGTATTTTAAAGGGTTATTCTATAATTTTATTAATAAATAAAATAAATAAAATAATTAAAATATTATAAAAATAACTAACCTTTGTATTTAATAATTTTTCTTTTAATATTAATATTATTATTAATATTAATATTATTATTATTAATATAATTAAAATCTTCAGCTAATTTATTAAAAAATAAATTAGCTTTAAGACTATTATTTATATTAATTTTATTAATTTCTTTATTTAACCTATAAATAATATTAATAAAATAAGTTAATAAAATTAATAAAAGAAATAATTTATTATATTTTAATTTAAATAGATTTATAATATTAATATTTATATTAGAATAGAAATATAATAATCTATCTTTTATAAAATATATATTTTTAAATTAAGGATTTAAAAATAAACTAAATAAAAAAGGCTTATAATTAATTAAATTAATAAATAAATTAAATTTATTATTATAATAAAAAACACTTACTAATTTAGATCCTTCAAGGGGGTTATTATAATTATTATATAACCTTTTTTAGTTTATTATATATTTTATAAATATATAATAAAGCTATAGGAATTATTATATAAAGCTAGCCTTGTAATTTAATTAAAGGCTTTAAAAAAACTAAAAATATATTTTTTAATTCCTTTAAAGCTTTGTATTTAATTTTACTAAAAAATAACTATAATTAAATTAACATAATTATTATAATAAAATACTAAATAATAAATACTTTTTTAAATTCTTTATTTTTTATAAATTTATAATAATAATATAAAGCTTTTTTTAAATTTAAAATATTAAGTATATAATAAGTTGAATTCTAATAGGTTGAATTGTTTATATAATTTAATTAGCTTTTTTTTTATTTAAATAAATAAAATAATATATTTAATAGAATTTTTTCTTTATTATAATTAGCAGGAATTTTTTTATTTTTTTTAGCTTTTAATATTCTTTTACTTAATAAATTATTAAACTTTAGGGTATATTTAACTAAAGCTATAATTTATTTTAGTTAATTAATTAAATTTATTTATTATTAGTTATTAATGTTTTTTTAATAAAATAATAAAATAACTTACTATTATAATTAATATTAGTAAAATTTTTATTTTCTTCTTTATTATTATTATTATATAAATATAAATTTATATATTTTAATAATATATTTAAATTATTATTAAATATATAATTTTTTAATATATCTTATATAATTAAATTAATAATATATACTATATATTTAATATTTTTTTTAAAATTTTTTTATTAGCTTCTTTATAAGCTTTTTTAAAAGAATTTATAAATGTATTATTATTATAGGCATTATCTCTTGTAATACTAATACATTAGTTCTTTATTAGTTATTTTATTATATATATAATATATTAAATAAATAATATACTTAAATATATTTTATATATTTAATAAATTAAAATATTATTTTAAGGCTTTATTAAATTACTAGTATGTATATATTTTTATATAGCTTTTAAAAAGCTTATTTAATCTTATAAATAAATTAATAATAGTTATATTTTTAATAGCTTTATAAAAAAATATAAATAAAATACCTATAAGCTTATATTTTAATTTAAAATTTAAATTAATAAAAATAAGAATTATTTTTAAATAAGAATTTTAATTATTTAAAGTTTAAATATTAAAGGTTATAGAAAAACAGCCATTAGTCTTTAAATTAGCTTTAATTTACTAATTTAAATTTAATAAAGCTTTATTATAATTTTCTTTTAATATATTTTAAATATTTAATTAATTAATATTAAAATAGCTGCTAATAAATAATAAAATTAATATATAATATTTAAATTATATATAAAATAAAATATAAT